TGTATTTCCTGAATTTGAATGTTGGCCTATCTTGCTAGGTTGGGGAAGTTCTTCTAGATAATCTCCTGCAGAGTGTTTTCCAACTTGGTTCCATTCTCCCCATCACTTTCAGGTACATCAGTCAAACGTAGATTTGGTCTTTTCACATAGTCCCATATTTCTTGGAGGCTTTGTTCATTTCTTTTTATTCTTGTTTCTCTAATCTTGTCTTCTCACTTTATTTCATTGAGTTGATCTTCAGTCTCTGATATCCTTTCTTCTGCTTGATTGATTTGTTGATTGATACTTGTGTGTGCTTCATGAAGTTCTTGTGCTGTGTTTTTCAGCTCCATTAGGTCATTTATTTTATTCTCTAAACTTATTATTCTAGTTAGCAATTCATCTAACCTTTTTAAAAAGTTCTTAGCTTCCTTGCATTGGATTAGAACATGCTCCTTTAGCTCGGAGGAGTTTGTTATTACCCACCTTCTGAAGCCTACTTCTGTCAATTTGTCAAACTCATTCTCCATCCAGTTTGGTCCCTTGCTGGTGAGGAGTTGTAGTCCTTTGGAGGAGAAGAGGTGTTGTGTTTTTTGGAATTTTCAGCCTTTTTGCACTGATTTCTCCCCATCTTTGTGGATTTATCTGCCTTTGGTCTTTGATGTTGGTGACCTTCAGATGAAGTCTCTGAGTGGATGTGCTATTTCTTTCTGTTTGTTAGTTTTCCTTCTGGCAGTCAGGCCTCTCTGCTGCAGGTCTGCTGGAGTTTGCTGGAGGTTCACTCCAGACCTGTTTTCCTGGGTATCACCAGTAGAGGCTGCAGAATAGCAATGATTGCTGCCTGTTCTTTCCTTTTTGTCCCAGAGGAGCACCCACCAGATGGCAGCCAGAGCTCTCCTGTATGAGGTTTCTTTCAGCCCCTACTGGGAGGTGTCTCCCAGTCAGGATACACGGGGGTCAGGGACCCACTTGAGGAGGCAGTCTGACCCTTAACAGAGTTCAAGCACTGAGCTAGGAGGTCCCCTACACTCTTCAGAGCTGTCAGGTAGGGACACTTAATTCCGCTAAGCTGCACTGGCAGCCGCCACTTCCCCCAAGTGCTCTGTTCCAGAGGGATGCGGGTTTTCTCTGTAAGTTCCTGACTGGGGCTGCTGCCTTTTTTTCAGAGATGCCCTGCCCAGAGACGAGAAATCTGGCAGTCTGGCCATAGCAGCCTTACTGAGCTGTGGTGGGCTCCACCCAGTTTGAAGTTCCCAGGGACTTTGTTTACACTGTGAGGATAAAACCACCTACTCAAGCCTCAGCAATGGCAGACGCCCCTCCCCCCACAAAGCTCCAGCATCCCAGGTGGATCTCAGACTGCTGCTGTGCTGGCAGCCAGAATTTCAAGTCAGTGGATCTTAGTTTGCTGGACCCTGTGGGGGTGGGACCCGCAGAGCCAGACCACTTGACTCCCTGGCTCAGCCCCCTTTCCAGGGGAGTGAAGGGCTCTGTCTCTCTGGTGTTCCAGGCACCACTGGGGTATGGAAACAAAAAAACTCCTGCAGCTAGTTCAGTGTCTGCCCAAATGGCCACCCAGTTTTGTACTTGAAACCCAGGGCCCTGGTGGCATAGGAACTGGAGAGAATCTCCTGATATATCCGTTGCAAAGACCGTGGGAAAAGTGCAGTATCTGGACTGGAGTTCACCGTTTTTCCTGGTGCAGTTTCTCACAGCTTCCCTTGGCTAGGGGAATGAATTCCCCAACCCTTTGCAATTCCTGGGTGAGACAACACCCTTCCCTGCTTCTGCTCACCCTCCGTGGGCTGCACCCACTGTTCAACCAGCTTCAATGAGATGGGCCAGGTACCTCAGTTGGAAATGCAGAAATCACCCACCTGCGTCGATCTTGCTGGGAGCTGCAGACCAGAGCTGTTCCTGTTCAGCCATCTTGCCAGCATCTCCTGTACTCAAAGATGAAGGTGCTGTATTTACCTGTCCCTTCTATTTCTCTTCATGAGACTAGCACATGCTAACTCCTTCTAGTTGACCATCTTGACCAGCCCCTCCTATTTGACTCTTTAAATTATGTTTATAAATAACTTTGATAACATTAAATATTAAATACAGAAAAGAAGTGATAATAAAAATAATGACTTATTTTTATCTATTAGATTGGAAAAGTTTAAAAATATTGACTTTTTTTCTGAAGGGCTGTTAAAATTTAAGCTATATAATTTTGTGTTCAGAATCCCCAATTTCTATTTCTAGAAATTGACCCTAAGAGTAAAGCATAACTACATTCAGATAAATGATCAAAATGAATGATAAATGGCCATATCAGCTGCCATTCATGAGGATTTATATATACCTTGCACTTTATAGACAGTGTCTGAGTTAATTCCAATGACAACCAATCAGGTGGTTATCATTGCCCCTCTTTATGTACAAGTAAACAACCCTCCATTGTTCTTGCTTTCCTTTTACGTCCTCCCATTCTTCCTCTTTTGTCCACAGTGTATGTTCTGTAATGTTTTTGTTTTTAAATAAAGACTGTAATTTGTCTCCCTGTTTTTCTTAATTGGTGAGAACTTGAAATGGAGGACAGTAGGTGAGTCTCAAACCTCCAAAAGTCCATGTCAAAGGAAGTCTTAGTTAATAAAATGATGAGCTAAAAGAATATTGGGTACAAGAAGAAAATAGGCCAGATTGGAATGATTGATGTGAAAATAGGCTAGATGTGGATGTTTGATGTAATTTTAAAGAAACAGATACTCTTCCTTAAAAAGTAACTCAATGACATCCATAGTTGCAGCAGCAGCAATTTTAATCATCACTAACTCTCATGCTCACCTCTAGTGCCCAGATTTTTATTTTTTATTTTCATCTCTCAACTAAAATAACTTAAAGGACAACTGATTACCATATTTTAATCAGAAAAACTGAGAATGGGTCTGAAATGTCTTTCTGCTATTATAAAGCAAGGATTACTTCAAAGTGTGAAAGACCACCAGTCAAAGACCATCAGGAACATGTTTAGGTTTTTTTTTTTTTAGCTTGCAAGGAAGAACACACTCTAGGGGAATTTTGTGGTGTCAGGGAAATAGGTAATTGGGAAGAGCTTATTATAAGATTTTTGCTTATGTTGACTAATTTTAGGAAGAGACTGAAGAAGCAGGGACCATCTCTGGATTGGACAATGTCAAGAAACTAGGAGCAGTTTGGCAATTGAGTATCTGTTAATCTTTCTACAAAATTTGGTAGGAGTGAGGCTAGGCTGGGATGTCATTGGTAAGAAAGCAAAAATCACTCAGATATATTTTTTCCTCTAGTTGAATTACAGCTTTGACTGTGCTTGTTAGAGATTTTTTATCATAGCTTGATAGCCAGCTAGCAGGGCTGATACTCACTTTCTCAAAGATATTCAAGGAAGTGTAAAAAGCATAAAGAAACTGACTTAAAGGAATTCTTTCTGGCTAAATTGAGAAAATTTAAGCATCAAAAAGAGAATAATTATGACTATAAAAGCTATGAGGTCATTCAGATATTCAAATGAAAAGTTAATGAAAGTATAAAAATGTAGCTATAATAGAAAGGTGAGCATTGTGGGATATATTTAATTTTTACTGATTACATAAGCTTCTAATTAATACCTACATGCAGATATTTTATACCAACATGTTAAGAAATGTCAGCCATGCCAAGGATAAGTAACATATTTCTGGGAATACAACATGTTTCAAAAGTTTAAAACCTATGTGAAAGGCAGAGACATAAAAGTCCCTTGATGTAATACATAAAACCTTATTATAAACGAAAGCTCAGTCTAATGCCCTAAGGCTTGAGTTTAAATCACAGAGGTTTACACAATCAGGATTCTTGGCCAACCAAGATTTATCAGTTGCAAAATTCTACAACTTGACATTTCAGCTGGTCTAAGGTGGTATTCTTTTGCTTTTGTCACTAGTAAAATTACTTCAGCCTTGAGAAACCTTGATAATACATAAAACTCCTAGAAAGGAAGAAGCATGAGTACATCTGATAAAATTTATCTTGATTTCAGTCCCTTTATAACTGGTTTAAAATGAAAGTATAATAGAGATTTAAAACATTTCTTATTTTTGTATTTTGTTTGATTTTTCAGAAAATATAAAATATTAGAATAATACTTTAAATTATTTAGGACTTTTAAAAACTTTTAAGTTCAAGGTACATGTGCAGGTTTGTTACATAGATAAATTTGTGTCATGGGAGTTTGTTGTACAGATTATTTCATCACCCAGGTATTAATCCTCATACCCATTAGTTATTTTCCCTGATCCTCTCCCTCCTCCCACCCTCCACTTTCCAACAGGCCCCAGTGTGTGTTTTTCCTCTCAATGTGTCCATGTGTTCTCATCATTTAGCTCCCACTTATAAGTGAGAACATGTGGTATCTGGTTTTCTGTTCCTGCATTAGGTGGTAAGGATAATGGCCTCCAGCTCCATCCATGTCCCTGGAAAGGATGTAATCTTGTTTTTTTCATGGCTGCATAATATTCCATGATGTATATATACACCACATTTTCTTTATCCAGTCCATCAGCAGTGGGCATTTAGGCTTATTCCATGCATTTGGGACATACTATTAAAAATGTTTGTGACCAAAAAGTTTTAGTAAATCTAATTTGTTTTATTCCAAGTCTATATTAATTAATTTTGTACTATGTGAATACTTAAAATAGTGATGGTTTACTCCTTCAAAAATGATAATTTTTAATGAAGTCATACAGTTAACAAATGGGGCATTAAACAATGGTAATGAATGTTCCTCTTTATGTACAGAAACTTTTCAGACATCAAAGAATCTACCCATAGAACAGAGGCGAGGATGTCATAGAACTGAAAAGCAACGTGTTGGAGAATCACTCATCCATTTTCTTTTGGGATGTTTTCACAACAAAACTCCTTTTGAGAGCATCCCATCACCTATAAACCTTGAGAACCTTCTGATTCTATCATCCTGGCTAAAAACAGGTTAGAGAAACTGATGTTTGTTTCTCTTGGCCTTCTTCTTCTGGTCACAAAATGTCATCTACAGATCAGGCAAGAAAAAGAATGAGTAACCAGGATGCTGCTGCTCAGAGCTGTCCATAAACAGGTGCATTCAATCAATGATCTCCCACCTCCCTGCATTATGACTTTCTTCATATGAAAGTCATACATGGTAATGCCTTGAAGTTCCCAACCCTAACATGGGGTCCCAAGAGTTCCCTCCCTCATATTCCAACTAAGGGATATATGTGATGTCTCTTTGGTTAAAAAGGTAAAGGAAGTTGAGAAGGAAAGAATTTATGTGGGTTATTGCCACTTTGAAAAAACTTGGGCAATTTAATAAGGAAGATAAGAAATATGAATGTTGGGTGATCAATTGCAGTATCTGCCACAGGTGTGATCAATTTCTCAAACCAGGTATAATGCTTCAAATGAGGAAGAGAAAAGAAAAATGGTTCATAGAGGGAAAACTCCCAGGAGATTCTTACCCAGGTGAGGACCAGGCACATAGGGCAGTCCATCTGGACGCGGGAAGATGCTATCTTTTGTGATTTTGGGCTTGACCTGTTGTAAGATGTAGTAATCAATTGTGCATTCTAAGAACCCTGGACTTTATCTCCCATCAGCAATTTCCCTCCCATGATACTCTCACACTTTCCCTGTCTCAGAGGCAGAAAAGACCTGATGTCTATTGAGGTCATAATTGCAGCCTGCCCCTGCACCATGGACCCCATTGATTCCAACTGCATAATGTTCTTGTAGTCTGTCTGTGTGCCTCTGTCCCTCTTACTCTGATTTTCAGTCTCATCCTCTTGCCTTCAAATATTTATACATTTTTCTTTGTAAATTGTGAAACCACAGGCCTGACATTTAATCCATCATAATTCTTTTTCTATGATTCTTTCTGCTAAATACTTCAATCTTGTGTCTCATGCCTACAGTTTTTTTCTTTTTCTGGCCCTAGAAATTTGAAGTTTCTCATTTCACTACTTTATGAAGTCTTTCCCTTAGAGGACACCCAGAATTCTTTCTATACAAATAGAATGCGTTTTAAAAAAACTTGTATTACCACTTTCCAACTTTCGGTTGTAACAGGTATTCTTGACCTTGTACTCTTTCTAAAGACCTTTCCTCTTCAGTGTTCTTTCTTTTCCTCTTCAGTGTTCTTTCTTTTACAACTTTCCTATTAGCTCTTTTTCTCTCTCTGCCAATCTGTTGATATCCCTGAAGACTGTTTTTTTTTTCTCATTTTCTTTTCTTCTGTCTTTAGAGAAAAAAAGTCACACAAATATTTCACTGAATATTCTGAGTAGGAAATTCCAAATCAATATGTACCTCTAGTCCTCTTGTCTCTCTTCTACACTAGTTCCACATTCTGAGTTGCCCTGGGAGATTTCCACTTCAAAGTTCCACAACCATTTAAAGCTTCATTAATCTCTTGGAAAACCATTTCCCCTTCCCATGGTCTCTATTTCTAACAGTGAGACATGGTGCTTCTCAGCACAAACTTTGGAATCAGAGAAATAGAAATCCAGCTCTTATAATTGTGTGCTGAAGGACATTAGGCAAATTACCTAACCTCTCTCTATCTTTGTTTTCTTACCTGCAAAGTGAGGATACCCACCTCAGAGGAGCCGATACTTCTTGTGAAGTTATTAGCTGTTTATAGATACTTAGTTCTCTCCCTAAGAGAGAACTAAGTAAATAGGAGGGCTATATTAACCTGTCCTGTTGAACTCAGTCCGGCCATTTGCTTTGGTCAATGAAATGGGAGCTGAGGTGACAGGTTCCATTGCCCAGTTAAAAGCCACAACAGCATTGTTCACAGTGGTGCAGAAAGAATGACATGGGGCAGAGTCTCACCCATCCTTGAAGGATATGTAATGTTAGTGAGAAATAAACCTTTATTATTTAAAGACTGAATTTTAGGATTGTTTTGTTACTGTAGCACAACTGAGCCTACATTGATTGTTACATCTTTGCACTAAGAACAAGATAGGAGGGTGGGGCCAAGATGGCTGGCTAGAAACAGTTGTGTTCAGAGGCTTCCATCAAAAAGAACCATAATAAGCATGTGAATCCTTCACTGTCAACCAAGGTATCTAGTTTCTCTCATCAGAACTGAGTAGGAGACTGGCGTGATCCACGGAGAGGAAGGCAGGCAGTGAGAATGCTACCCAGCCAGGGAAACCATGCTTTTTCCATGGAACTGTGTAACCCATGGATCAGAAGATTCCACTTGTGAACTCATGCCACCGGGGCCTAGTGTCCCAACCCTGCAGCCATGCAGATTCTCCACAGCCTTTCAGCTGGGATCTGCTTAAGCCTACTGAGCTCCTGGGAGGAGTGGGTGACCAGCACCACAGCTGTGGCTGTGGCTGCCTGCTGTCTAAGCCATTTGCACTCTTTGGTGGAGAGGCAGCAGCCAGCACTGGGACTCACAACTGCCTAACACACTAGACTCCCTGAGTGTGGGAAGGGTGACATCCATCTCCATAGCTCCAGGCTGTGCTTTTCCCCTGCTAGAGCCAGGGAGGCTGGATGGCTTGGTCCCAAGATGTGTCCCCTACAGCCCAACATATCAGATGGGGCAGACTGTGGCCAGAGTGCCTTTTCAGGCCTGACCCTGACCCATCCTTCCTTATTGGGTGGGGCTTCCATGCAGGAACTCCAATAACTCCAGTCAGAGGCTCAGGGACAGAACCCAGATCTCCCTGGGCCTGAGCCCTTATGGGGAAGGGTGGCCGCAGTCTCTGTGGACCAACAGACTCAGCTTTTCCTCCTGGTAGTTCTGAGGAATCCAGACAGCCCAGATGAATGGGCTTCCCCCCGGAGAAGCACACTCCCTCCACCAAGGCACAAAGTACTTCATTAAACAGGTCCCATTCCCCATGGCACCCAACTGGGTGAGACCCTCCAACAGAGGTTGGCAGACACCCTATACAGGAGCAGTCATACTGGCATCAGTTGGTGTCCCTTGAGGTCAGAGATTCCAGAAGAAGGAGCAGGCACCCATCTTTGCTGTTTTCCAGCCTCCTTGAGTGACATCTTCAGGTGTGGGAGCAAACCAGATGAATAAGGCATGAAGCAAACCCCCAGAAAACTGCAGCAGCCCTACAGAAGAGGAACCTGACCATTGAAAGAAAAACAAACAAGTAGAAAGCATCAACAACAATGAAAACCCTCACAAAAACCCCATCCAAGAGTCAGCAGCCTCAAAGATCCAAGCTAGACAAACTAACAAAGATGAGAAAGAATCAATGGAAAAACGCTGAAAACCCAAAAGGCCAGAGTGCCTCTTCTCCTCCAAATGATCACAATACCTCTCCAGCAAGGGCACAGAACTAGACAAAGGATGAGATGGATGAAATGACAGAAGTAGACTTCAGAAGATGGATAATGAAAAACTCTGCTGAGCTAAAGGAGCATGTTCTAACCTAATGCAAAGAAGCGAAGAACCTTGATAAAAGGTTAGAGGAGCTGCTAAGTAGATTAATCAGTATAGAGAGGAGCATAAATGACCTGATGGAGCAGAAGAACACAGCACAAGAACTTCATGATGCATACACAAGTATCAATAGCTGAATTGACCAAGTGGAAGAAAGCATTTGAGTTTGAAGATACCTTGCTGAAATAAGGCATGCAGACAAGACTAGAGAAAAAAGAATAAAAAGGAATGAACAAAGGCTCCAAGAAATTTGGGATTTCATAAAAAGACTGAACCTACAATTGATTGGAGTACCTGAAGGAGATGGGGAGAATGGAAACGAGCTGGAAAACACACTTCAGGATATTATCCAGGAGAACTTCCCCAACCTAACAAAACAGGCCAACATAAATATTAAGGAAATACAGAGAACATCACTAAGATACTCCATGAGAAGATCAACCCCAAGACACACAATCATCAGATTCTCCAAGGTGGAAATGAAGGAAAAAATGTTAAGGGCAGCCAGAGAGAAAGATTAGGTTACCTACAAAGGGAAGCCCATCAGACTAACAATACATCTCTTAACAGAGGCTCTACAAGCCAGAAGAATTTGGGGGCCAGTATTCAACATTCTTAAAGAAAGGAATTTTCAACCCAGAATATCATTTCCAGCCAAACTAAGCTTCATAAGCAGAGAAATAAAATCCTTTCCAGACAAGCCAATGCTGAGGGATTTCATTACCACCAGGGCTGCCTTGCAAGTGCTCCTGAAAGAAGTACTAACTGTGGAAAGGAAAACTCAGTACCAGTCACTGCAAAAACACACCAAAATATAAAGACCAATGACATTATGAAGAAACTGTATTGACTAGTGCACAAAAAACCAAATAGCATCATGATGATAGGAACAAATTCACATGTAACAATACTAACCTTAAATGTAAATGGACTAAATGCCTTAATTAAAAGACACTAACTGGCAAATTGGAGGAAGAGTCATGACTCATTGGTGTGCTGTATTCAGGAGATGCATCTCACATGCAAAGACACACATAGGCTCAAAATAAGGGGATGGAGGAAAATTTACCAAGAAATGGCAAGCCAAAAAAGTAGGGGTTGTAATCCTAGTCTCTGACAAACCAGACTTTAAACCAACAAAGATCAAAAGAGACAAAGAAGGGCATTACACAATGGTAAGGGGAACAATTCAGTAAGACGAGCTAACTATTCTAAATGTATATGTGCCCAATACAGGAGCACCCAGATTTATAAAACAAGTTCTTAAAGACCTACAAAGAGACTTAGGCTCCAACACAATAATAGTGGGAGACTTTAATACTCCACTGTCAATATTAGATCAACGAGGCAGAAAATTAACAAGGATATTCAGGACTTGAAGTCAGCTCTGCATCATGTGGACCTAATAGACATCTACAGAACTCTCCACCCCAAGTCAACAGAATATATATTCTCAGCACCACATCACACTTATTCTAAAATACCACATAATTGGAAGTAAAACATTCCTCAGCAAATGAAAAGAACAGAAATCATAATAAACAGTCTCTCAGACCACAGCACAATCAAATTAGAACTCAGAATTAAGAAACACCCTCAAAACCACACAATTACATGGAAATTGAACAACCTGCTCTTGAATGACTCCTGGATAAATAATGAAATTAAGACCAAAATCAAGAAATTCTTTGAAACCAATAAAAATAAACAGACAATGTACAAGAATCTCTGGGACACAGCTAAAGCAGTGTTAAGAGGGAAGTATATAGCACTAAATGCCCTCATCAGGAAGCTGGAAAGACCTCAAATTGATACCCTAACATCACAATTAAAAGAGATAGAGAGACGAGCAAATTAATCCAAAAGCTAGCAGAAGACAAGAAATAACTAAGATCAGAGCAGAACTGAAGGAGATAGAGACAGGAAAAACCCTGAAAAAAAATCAATGAATCCAGGAGTGAGGTTTTCTGAAAAAATTACCTAGATAGACTGCTAGCTAGACTAAAGAAGAAAAGAGAAAAGAATGAAATAGACACAGTAAAAAATGATAAAGTGAATATCACCACTGATCCCACAGAAATACATACTACCATCAGAGAATACTATAAACACCTCTATGCAAATAGACTAGAAAATCTAGAAGAAATGGATAAACTCCTGGATACATATGCCCTCCCAAGACTAAACCAGGAAGAAGTCGAATCCTTGAATAGACCAATAACAAATTCTGAAACTGAAGCAGTAATTAATAGCCTACTGTATTAATCTATTTTCATGCCGCTGATAAAACAGACCTGAGACTGGGACGAAAAAAA